CACAAATCATTTTTTAAATACTATTTATTAAAGATAGGACCTTTTCGAAACTGTGAAATCCTCAAAACTTAGAAAAATTATACTTTTAAGGTATAATACTTCTAAAATTTAATATTTACAGTATTTTGTTAACATGTTGATATATTTTTTGTTATTTAATATATAGAATGAAAGATTAGAATAAGGATTTAATTTATATGGTTTAATTACATATGATTGAATTGATAATCGATTAAAGAAAGTCACCTATTATGTAAAGAATCAATTCAGCTGTTTTGATTAGCTATTGTAAATAATTGGACACTTTTTTCGTTTTTTACATATCGATAATTGAGAAATAAATAGGAAATATTTTTAAAATGTCGGAAACATTAAAAACAACTCAAGAAAAGATGCGTGAAAACATTCTAGATGATAAACATAATCCACATGAAAGATTGAAAGACAATTCTACGGAAAAAAAAAATTCTGAATCAATTACTTCGTCTGCAAAGGTATGTTTTTTCTTTTCTTAATTAAATTTTGATTTGAGAAATTTGTATTGATTTAAACAACCTTAGGATTACTACTATAAAAGATGCTTATCTCTTTTTTTCTAATTGAACTATCTTAAATTTTATTTTATTCATAAAGATCTCATTCAGATTTGACAAACAAAAACAGCAAATTATCGATAGTGATTGGGGAGGATATGCTTTGGATTTAGATTTATGGGAGGACAGCAAATCGCCTGTAGTACAAATAAGGCCAAGTGAAGTATTATTGGACGATAAGGAAAGTTTCGGCTTTTTGTCTGACAGATTGATAGGCATCGGCTCATCCTTTCTAACAAGATCACCCGAAAACGGTCTCTATATTCTCAGTAAATGTGTCCTGAAAAATAGGGTATTGTCGAAAATTCCACAATTAAATTAATATAAATACCCAACGAGCAAAAATGTTAATACAAATTTTATTGGTAAAACGAGGACAAGAATATAATTATCTACAATATGCTAGCAATTTAATTTTGTCTAAATTATAATATTTAATCTTAGTTTACTATATAATTTACTATATAATTTACTATATAGTTTACTACACAGTTTTATTATATAATTTTATAAATTTGTATTATTAATATTTAAGTAAATATTAAATGTTTAATTATAATATAAATA